TTTTCTTCCCTTTTTCTACATTTGATTTTTGAATCTGAATTGTATTTTGTACAGGGTGTTGTAAAGCTTTGTTTACATTGCATTGTCACTCTACACATGGATTCATGGTAAAATCTGTCTTTACTTGAGAATTTTGGTTAATGAGTTAGTCTTTTTTTTCTTTACTGGTTATTCCTTCTATCATCACATCTGATTAGCAACAACTTGCCAAATGATAGTGTTAGATAGACTACACATGTCATATGGTAATTACATTATTTTACATATCCGAGACCCGCTTCTTTGGCTTTGCCTTTTTCACATCTGGTAATTTTAATGAGTTTTTCTGTAATAGTTTTACAATTGATGGTTTGAACCTTTTGATTTTTTTTTTAACAGGGGAAGATTGGAGGCATTGAAGAAGCAGGTATATGGTTCACTGTTTCTTCATTCTTTTCTTTGACTGAAATACTTTTTTTTTAGATTTGTATTAGTTTAGGGTAAATTTTGCAGATTACTTGTCAAAAGTGTTGGTATAGCTCAAAGGGTTCTTATAAATCCTAGGCAAAGTACCCAAAAGATATATTGGAGGTGGGTATCATCATCCAAAACTATATAAACAAATTTCAGATTAATATTTATAATTGTATCTTTTTATACCTCGTGTGTTTTCTAATATATTTTTACCTTTGTTAATATTTTTATTTGGTTGATTTCAGTCAAAGATGTCCCCTTTTAGAAAGACAAGGTGAAGAAAAGGAAAGAAAAACACATATACATATTTTCTTTCAGCTTAATTCTCTGAGTAGAAGCTTCTTTTTGCAACTTGCAGGTATTATGATAGACCACAATATTGCAGCAACATCCACTTCAGATGAGAAGAATATTGCTTCTACTTGGTACATTTAGTTTGTCTTTGTTTTGTTTTTTTAACTTTTCCTATTATATTAGTTGAAAAACAAAAAAAAATTATTATGGTCAGAATAAAGAAATGTGCAAGATTTGTTTTCTGCCTTTGGTAGTATTTTTAATCATATATGTTAGTTACAATATACATGCTAATTCATATTTATAATATGTTGTCAAAAGTTTGAGGGGTAATTTGTAAATTTGAGAAACTTTTGTATGTTTCAGGAGAGATTTCCAATATTAAGATGAGGCACCACTGTTGGTCCGGCATTGGCTATACCAACTGTAGCTTTCTGCTTCCTTTATTCTTTTTTTTCATTAATAAATGCCTTTTTCGATTCTGATATCAATATTTTCTTTCACCATGTACGAATTAGATGCAGTTAAAAAAAACAAATAATAAACACTTCAAACCAATTACAAAATAATAAACCCTTTTATTTATAAATTATAAATATAAAAATGTTACAACACTATAACTGTTAAATGTAGTTAACAGTACTTATTATTTATTATATTCAACTTCTTTTGCAGCATGTCACTGGTATGAACTTTATGGTCGGGTAACATACACCACATAAAATCAGATAATAGCGTCCATATCAGGTGACTTCAATTCTATAGTATAATGTCCTAATTAGAATTCCTTTTTTTAAGGTACAATATCATAATCGGGTATGTTTTCTAAAGCACAATGAAAGTGATTTACTATGTTTTTCAATTCTGCTTTTCTGGTAAGAATACAACCATGAAAGTGCAAGTGATTTACTATGCTTTTTTCATATTTAACATCACAATGTACATCACAATTTCGGTATCAACATAACTGATTATCAATTTTATTAATTTGTTTTATAAATAGTTATCACATAAAACAAAATACTATTTTAACCATAGTGGTTGTTTTAATAATGGTAATTACTAATAAAAATTAAAATTTTTATATTCCTATTTGGGTTTTAATAACCTTTTTTTTTTGTTAAAGCAAACATATATTTTGTAGATAGACTTTCACTTGCTATAATTGAATAAATTTTCCAAAGTACAATGATGCAATAGGAAGAAATGGAAGCATGTTGTTATTTATTGTATTAACACATTTTTTTCCCACTTGTAGGCCGAAGGTTTTTTTTGGATCAACGTAAACACCCAGGAAGAACATTTAACGGATCAGTTGAGTAGTGGTATGGTCCGGTTAAAGTATGTTGTTCTTTTGATCTAAGAAAATGTTCTCCTTTTGAACATATTGTACTTTAACAATTCAACAACATACTTTACAAAAGAATACCATACAACTGGAGCCATACTACAACATATTTAACTATTATGTATTTGTAAATGAGCGAATTGTAGACAATAGCAACATACTTTACTAGTCTTAACTGAACCTCGCGGAGCGGGGTTTCCCAGCTAGTTTTGTATTAAAATAATGTTTCTCTTTTGAGACTTTTCTACTTAATTATCCTTTTATTTATATATATATATATATATATATATATATATATAAGATTTGTTTATTTTGTTTTCCAAATTCATTTTATTTGTGTTCTTTTATATTTACATTAACTTTAATTTTAAATTTAATTATTATTTAATTAACAAATATTAATAACTATGGCTTATTTAAAAAATATAATTGTAAACAAATTAAATTAAAAGGAATACAACAATTTAATTTAAACATAGACCATAAAATACAGCAAAGTACATGAGCCGACAGTCGAACCGGTCGAGCCGGTTAGTCGAACGTGTTGAATCGGAACATATATTATAATCTACAAACAAATAAAAAGACAATAAACAACATATACTTCGTACTTTATATCGTTTGTTAGCAATGTCGATTTCAGAAGCATGAGTTTCATGGAGTTCATCTTGTATGTGAAGAACTTGGTCAAGGATGGAAGAATCAATGTGTACTATTGTCTTCCACAACGTTCACTGAGA